AAAAAAAGCTTTACATTTTTATAAAGTTTATATAAATTTATACAGAGGGTATAAACAACGCTTTGAACTGTCATAATGTAGCAAAAAACAGAGTTTCACGCACGTGATACTGTAGTACCTAATACCGCCACCGCGAGCGCTCCCTCAGTTGAAATCAAGATGGCTACTTTCACATATGCGGAGCGTGCTCGTTGTGTTTTTTGGTTCGAAGAAACGAAGCTTGATACACAAGTTCAAAGGATATTTCGCACTCAGCATCGCAAGGAACCTCCCAGTAGGCCTACAATTTACTCCTGGCACAAGAATTTTGTTCAGACCGGATGTTCTGTGCGCCATGACAAGCCACCCGGTCGGCCACGTGTTTTCTGAAGCTACAGTGGAACAGATTAGGGAGAACTTCGTTCGAAGTCCACGAAAGTCAACGCGATGTGCGTCTCGGGAAACTGGTATTCCAAATGTTACTGTGTGGCGAGTGTTACCAAAACGTTTACACTTAAAAGCGTACGCATTATCCATCGTTCAGCACCTTACGGATGCAGATAAGGTGGTTCGTAAGGAATTCTGTATGCAAATGTTTCATCGGATACAAGACGATGAGAAGTTTCTGGACTCCGTAATTTCCGGTGATGAGAGCACGTTTCATGTCAGCGGATGTCACTGTCATGTCACTGCAGGATCTGGGTCAGCGAAAATCCACGTGTCTCCCTGGAACATGTTCGTGATAGCCCAAAGGTGAACGTGTGTGATGTTTTGTTCTTGGTTTCTCTTCCCTCTAAGGGCTCTTGAATAAGTGATTCCTGGTTGTAACTGAGATGGGTGAATTTGGGTTAGTGCATTATGTTGAATGTTTAGTCTATTGTTAGTGTTATTTGGTCGTTTCAATAAACTGTGATAATATTCACATCCTCCGTAATTAGCCGGATGTGCAAATCCAAAGACTACACATTTTGCAGGCGTGTTTCTAGATTTTTTTGACGATCTGTTTGCCGTGGGACCGACCGCATTTTACACATACATACGGTTTGTTACAATATGACCTTGTATGACCATATTGTTGGCATCGCGTGCACTGTGGGATCGCTTTGGCCTTTCTTGGAGGTTCTACTACAATTGTTTTGTTTTGTAGTCTTTGCTAGTTTGTAGACATTTTTGTTGTTAGTGTAATAAAGGATAAATCTATTTTTTTTTCAATACATTGTTTCAGGCCAATATGATTTTACTCTGGATGCTGTTGGTGATTTTGTTTGCAGCTCTGTCAGCTGTCCTGCATGTGAATGGTAAGTAACATATTGTCACGTCTTAGTGACTAGACACTGGGTCTGGATATTACTTGATTTACTGAACAGTTATGTCTCGTAACTACAAATGATTATAATAATCTCGTTAATTTACACACACTACAAATAAATACGGCACGCACAAAAACTTCGAAGTTTGTTATAGACTTCACTGGTCGTTGATATGTAACATCAAAGTCAAGTCACATCGCGACCGACAATCGGTCAGTCCGTCTGTTTTGGTTTCTGATTCCCTCTGGGATTCATGGCCAAGTCTTAGTTACTTACAGACAGTTACGGATTTATCGATATGTGTCGGCCTCTCTGACGAGAGGACAGATCTCACATTTATTGAAGTCATTGTCCGTCTATTGTCAGTATATTCTGTTTGTTTGCGGTTTACATGTATAATACATAATATAATAAAGTACATATAGTAGCTGTGAAGTCCTTTATTCCCGATCTAAGATCCCATCCTTTTCACCCATTCATTATCCATAATCTGCAGAGTCCTATCAATGTATATATTCAGTATGTACTGGCTCGCGAGTGAATTATGCCCAGTGGCGTAACTCATACTCGCTTTTGTTTTCAATTAGATATCATTTGAATTCTTGTATTGGGGTTTTACTCAGGTCTCTCTTGTAGAGTTCGGACGGTGTATCTTTTCAGTCTATGTGTAGTTTCGCTATTGTCTAACATGATCACTGCTAGTGCATTTGTGTGCATTTCTAATTTTCTTAAGAATTTGGTATTCCACTTTCTTTACTTCACTGAGCACTGTTTTCATTTGCAGATCTTCATGGATCCTGTGGTTGTTTACGTACAAAGATGCGTTCCGATGGGTCGGAGGGTCTTACATTGAAAGCACTGGAGGATTTCGATGGTTGAGCTGTTTCCTTTTGGTTTTGATGTGCTTTGCCCATCTCAGGCTTCTATCCTGATGCATGCCCAGATCTTTCACATCTTTCTGGGGTGGTTCAACATGGTGCATTTGCACTGTCGGACANGGTTGTTTAGGATTAATGTAATTTGCTTAAATTTGCTTCGATTTATTTTAATTCTCCATTTCTTCGCCTAATCAAGTTTATTCACGGTAGCTTGGAGTTTCATTGAGGCTATCGCTGGACCTTCATGTGTGGCTAAGATTGCTGTAACATCCGCGAAGGTAGCAGCTGTTGTGTTGTCTGACGTCAGGAGGTCGCTTGCGTAGATAAGAAATAGGACATGTCCTGAGACACTTCCTTGTGGTACGTCTGCTTTGTTTTCCTTATGTTTTTGGTTTCGTCTTTGAAATTTTCTTGATAGGTTCTATCCGTTAAGGGGCCCATACACGTACGAGTCTGGCTCGAAGAGCTTCAATTAGATAAATTTCACCATAAGTGCATGAGCTGACTCCTTACTTTGCGACAGACACACGGACGAGTCTGGCTCATTGGAGTCGGACTCGCAAGCCAGACTCGTACGTGTATGGGCCCCTTTAAATGTGATTCCTATATTCAGTAGTCTGCATAGGGAATGTTTCTCTGATTCTGAACAAGAAGCCAGGGTGCAATACTTTATCATACGCATGTGTGATGTCTGGGAGCGCCGCATAGCAGTACAGTTCCTCTTATTATCTGTGCAATTCGGAGTATACTTGTTCTGTGGTAGAGTGTTTCTGTCCGGGAGAAGTCGGGTTTCTTCTACTACCATGCGTAATCTCTTGAGTACTGCTCTTTCGAAGATTTTGTTCTTTATTGGGAGTTGGCTCGTAGGTCTACATGAGTTGGCTTCCGCCGCGGCCTACCAGATTCTGGAACCATGTGATCTGCGTGACTTTCCATTCAACTGGCGAATATCCCGTCCTGATAGTCGATTTACACTTAAGGCTCTCACACACAGACGCGATACAATTCGGGACGAAAACGGCTGTTTACCGACTGGGCCGCGCACACAGGCGCGACACTCGGGAACTCGGGAATCTTTGACACCCGATAACCAGCTGGCCATGACTCACACTCATAGCTATACGTAAGTGAAACGACATGGGTAGCCAAATGGAGCAAATAATAGAGTTCGTCAAAGAAAATACTTTATTGTACGATACTCATCATCCGATGTACAAGGATTCACGTGCTAAGGACAGAAAGTGGAAGGAATTGGCTGTTACAATGAACAGAGGCTTCAAGTAGAAATATTTGTATATTTTTATATAGGGTTAAGTATACAGTAACTGTGGTCATTCTTATTGTAGGCTATGCACCAGTTCCTTTCACTAACACGAATTCCAGGGGCAGTCATCTAGCTGAAGTACGCAACAATCCGCTCTCTAATGGCGTAGCTAACGTTTGCCACCCTTGGGCGACATAAAAGTTGGATAGGGTACATTTCTCCTTCTAATGGCTCCATTCGTAGCAGTTCTTCCCTGTACTTTTCATCACAGTTTTTGAGACTGATACAATGATACAATGTGTTTTATATTTCCTCCTTTCAGTTCTATTGGTCTCAAAAAAATCCTCCACTTAATGGCAAGAATAGGCCTCCGGCAATTGGTATATTGTTTAGTAATATCTTGCCTGATGGGTCTCAGCATTTCATCAAACTTGTCAATATTCATCCTGAAATATACGTAGAACCGTTTTTCGTCCTTCAGGAGTTCGGGTATCAATGTATGAAACTCCGCCAGTTCCTCTCTTTGCAAGTTTATATCATGAACCCAAGCGATTCGTCTCTTTCGCCTAAAATAGGAAGACACATAGGAACGACTTATACGTACTTAATTAGAGACTCGTTATGGAATTGTAAATATTTGTACATATGTGTGACATACTGAATATTTGGAGGAAAAGAACTACGCAGATTTAGTGTTCAGTAAAATACTTGCCGGGATTCACATTCGTCTTCATCAAGAGCGACAGCTAAAAGCAAAACTTCTTCCTCAAAAGACGGATCCATGAATATTTACCGCTGCGTTACCGCGCGGTCTACCGAGTGCGCTCGGTAGACCGAAATACCGAGGCGATATACCGACTGCGATAATATCGCGTTCCAAGGAGTACCGCGCCAGTGTGCGGACCTCCATTTAGCGCAATGTCATTAGATATCGTCCCGTAACGTACCGAGCTGAGTATCACGTCTGTTTGTGGGAGCCTTTAATGTGTAATATGTTTCTCGTATTGTTGTGTGATTCATAACCCACAGATACGATATCCCCTTTCACCAGTGAGACTATCAATAGATGAATGCACACTGATCATACTGTAATCCTAAGCATCAACACAATGGATCCACAGTTGCTAGCATACATAATTTGATATTAAATATGGGTTAGAGTAGACCGTGGCATAGCACAGGTGGTTAGTAGCTCACCCATCTCCTTTCACCGGGTTCAATCCAAGAAAATGCCTCTTAATATTTGTGACGAACAAAGTGGCACTGGGCAGGGTTTTCTCTGTGTGCTCCAGTTTCTCCTACTAATTCTCATTCCACCATTTGCCCCACACCTGCTCTATATTTCAGAGGGATTTCGCTAGCTTTTTTTAATTAATGTCGGATTTTTCGTGTATTCGGTAGCCCGTATGTGTAGTTAATTTTGATTGCAATCATCTAAACAGGCAGTGATATAACGCTGTGGGTTTTACGGGGTTGCCATGCTTTGAAATTACTTGGCTTGCCCTGCTTTTTTAAAGAGAAGAAACTGACATTACTGTAACAAGTGAGATATTTGGAGTGTAATTGTGCATCTGTGTAGCATTCTCATTTCGTTTTATTTATTATTTTTCAGGTTTACAACGATGGCGATACTTTTATGTTAATGGACGTTTAGACGTAAGTTTCAGAAAAGCTATAATTTATGCATAACCTCTAGTTAGTCTCTAAGTAACTTACTACAAAGCAATAACACTTTTGGCTAAATGATGTAATGAAATGTTTTCTGAGAGAGAGATTCATTCAAATTTCCTCGAAGGGATTTGGAAAATCATAAATTTCCTAATATTTAGAAAGGTATCTTTCAGAAACTTAAGTCACTTCATCAGAAGATGAGGTTCCAATAGAATTAATTTTTATACATCTCTTGTACTGGTTTGTGTTCCAGCTGGATCGAGCATATATGGTGATAATAAGCATCATTGTAACAGGCTATTTGAAATATTTAGTGGAAAGTTCCCTGACAACTGATTCTTTACTTATTAAGCATCGTTGTCTCTAGGCAATGCGACAAATTATATACAGGGTGTCCCAGGAGAAATGTGGTAGACTTCGGAAGGTGTTCCTTATGCTAAAGTATGCCAATATAACCAAAAACATCTATGTCCAAAGTTGAACGGTTACGGAGATAATTGCCAGAGAATTGTTAAAGTTTGATAGGTGTCACACACTTGTTGATACATACTAATACTGGAAGGAATATGTGGTTTCTCTAATGTTAATAATGTACGTAAGAAACTAACTTGTTAGTGACATGAAGCCATTAAATTGAACTCCAAAAAAACTCGCACACAATGTCATAGTTGTCGTTAGGGTTCCAAGCACTATACATGACACAGAAATGGCAAACACTAACGTAACACAGCTGACTGCGCATTCTGGTATGCAAGTGCATGCGGCTAGTGTGAGCCGTCATCACCACACTCAAGGACAAACATCGATAAGACATGTCAGCTGACAGGTACAGTGCGTGGACCCGCCTGAAGGCCACACTTATCTCAGGCCATTATCTCCGTAACCGTTCAACTTTGAACATAGATATTTTGGGTTATATCGGCATATTTTAACATAAGGAATACTCTCCCGAAGAAAGGCACATTCCTCCTGGGACATCCTGTAAATACTGTGACGTGGATGGCGCAACAGGAAGTAGGGGTCGCGTGAACTCTGCAATGTCCTGAGTGACATCACATACCCCCACTCCTTCCATCTTTATGCAACGCTGGGTAAATACTCCCCCCCGCGGTGACGTTGCAGCATAGATGCCGCTGCTACGGTAACAGGCCAGTAAACACTCCAATCCCCCCCCC